AGCCGGCGCCGGTGGAACGAGGAGTACAGATAGTTCGGAATGGCTACGTAGTTCGAACTATCTAGCCCGTGCCGCGTGTAGCCGCGCGGCACAGGGTTCGCACTAGCCGGCTTTTAAAAATGGCGGCGCCAGCTTTATGCTAATGAAGCCTGGGAAATTCAAATCCCGGGCTTCATTAGCAAGTTCGGTATGCATACATTACCCCGCTAGTTCGAACTAGCGGGGTAGTGTAGACATACCCTCAGGGAGGAGAGAGGACTGAAATGGGGATGAGAATGTGTAGACTGCTGCCTGAAATGAGGGCATCTTTAAAAATAAATTTTAGCAATGGGTTTTAATAACAGCGGGCTGAATTCTGCTCTCTGCTACACCTGGTATGAATCCAGAGCAATACTAGTGAAGTCAGTGGGAAAAATTTTCAAAAGCATTAAAGTCACGTAAGCACCTTTTGAAAATGTTATCTAGTGGAGTTACACTGTGTGGAAGTGAGATGGGAATGTGAGCCCGCCCTCTCCCCACTCCCTCCGTCTTTTACAGTTCTGTATCTTTCGAAGAATATGGCGCATGCTATAAATAAAAACCCTTTATGTCTGCAGGCTGATATTGTCACAGCCTTATAGGCAACGCAGACACCTGATTCCCATTCATTTTAGTGGGCCTCAAAATCCCTTTGGCAGCTTCACTAATCTCAGTTATAATTCCTTCAGTCTTTTGCCTAAAAAGATATACATTAGTTTTCCTTCCCCTCCCACCCTCTGTTTTCTAGGCTTTTCCTCCCATTTGATGGGTCCTGCATGCAGAACAGAAAGTAAGCAAAGCCCAAGGCAGGGTACATGGCTTGAAGGTGGCCACCTGAAGTGTGTGCATTTGGAGGGGAAAGTGGAGATAGATGCGTCTGCTAACGACAAATTGATCTTCCAATCACTTACACAGATGAGGTTCTCTTAATATTTTTATGCTTTGCAGAGGTCACGGAGAGTTGAGTGCTCAGTAACTCGGCCTGCCAGGTGGAGCCCTGCAAAGCAAGCCCAGGAGCTATCTCTAGCATGCGACAGAGTGGCGTCAGCTGACTCTGTCTGATCTGATCCCTGCTCCCCCAGCAGCAAATGCCACAAACTTGGCATACATGAGTTTTGCTTTATTTTGCATGCACAAAGGGAGCAGGATGTGTTGGAAAGTGAGACAGGAGAGGACCTGGTAAGGGGATGCTTCCAATAGGCTACAGTGCTACTGGACTCTGTTGGGGAGTGAAATGGGATCTGCACCTTGGCTGCAGTACCATGTATGGACTTTGTGCACCTGGCTTCACAAGCTTGGTCCAGGGATACTTTGAAAATGCTTTGTGGAGTCTTGGAATCAGGAATGGCGAGCAGGGTTAAGATGTTGGGGTAGGGTCCTGTCTATCCTTACCACTTCTGCAGTCCAAAAGAGTGCACACACAAGGACGATCCTAACTTGAGTGTGTCTCCTAGAAAACTCTCTGGGAGATTTCTTTGCACACAAACCAGGGGCAGAGTGACTCAAAGTTCCAACCCAGATTTGAAACCCTCCCAGACATTTGGGCTGGAGGGGCTGGACCTGGACTTTAGCACATCTTTATGCTCACATCGTTTTCCCAGTACATCTGTTGACCTGCTTTCTGAAAATTTCCTTTTTTCAACTGGTATTTAGAGAAGAGATTAACCAAATCAGACAAATTGAGAATAACCTAAAGAGCTTCCAAAATTCAGGCAAAACCCCGCCACCAGCCCCCCTCCTCCATTTTGCACCCTACTTCTGCCCCCCCAAATTTGAAAAGATTTTGATAATTTATTTTTCCTCTGCTTGCATTTGCACCAATTTCTGCTATTGAGCCTCAGACCCAGAAGACCAGGAGAGGCTGTTTGGTGCTGCATCTGGACAGCAGGATGTACTAGAACAGTGGTCTCTAAGCTTTTTAAGCACAAGATCACTTTTTGAATTGAAGTTCAATCCAGGATCTACCTCACACCCAAATATCCTTGCCTCGCCTCCTTTGTGCTCCTCCTCTGAGGCCCCGCCCCCTGCTTACTCCATCCTCCCTCACTTTCAGCGGGCTGGGGCATGCTCAGGACTGAGTTGGATGGGCCAAAAATTGTGGGGAGGGCGTTCTAGGTGCACGCTCTGGAAGGGTGTTTGGATGCAGGGATGCTTAGGGTGCAGGAGAAGGTTCATGACTGGGGTAGGGTTTCGGGATGTGAACTCCAGCTGGGCCCTGCGTACCTCAGCTGGCTCCTGGGTGGTGGTGCAGTGGGGCTAAGGCAGGCTCACCCTGCCCCAGTTCTGCACCACTCCCAAAAGCAGCCAGCAAACTCCCTCACAAGTCCTGTTGTGCTCACTCTCTGCTCTGTGGAGATAGGATATGGGGGGGGGCACCCTGACATCAGCACCCTCCTCTTCCTCTCCTGCACAGCTCCTGAGGGGACAGCTCGAAGGCAAAGGGCAGGAGAAGTGCAGCAGTGGGGGAGGGGCATATGACGGGCTGGCACTTGATAGCCTCTTGGCCAAACTAGTAAGGATCACCTGTCAGAGGCTCCAAGATCCACCAATAGATCCCGATCTACCAGTTGGTGACCACTGTACTAGGAGGAAATCTCATGAGGGACCCTGTTCTCTTGACAATGAGGCCAGGCATGGCATATCACCTGGTTAGCAAGGTGATGAAGCACCTTATGGGTGTGCCATTGTATTCTTTAGCTGTCTGTCCATTGTCTCTTGTCTTGGATTGTGATCCTCTAATAAAGGCTTCTTATCTTTTAGCATTCCCTGGTGGTGGGGTGGGGAGCTACACCTGGCTCTGTCCTCTCCTGTGCCATCATACCCAAATCTGCTTTGCCAAATCTATGTCAAGGAGAGACCCCCGTCCTTGCCTGATCCTCAATTGTCCGCCTCCTCTAGAGTAATGGGGGAGCTGTAAGGGCTAATCAGTTCTTGTTCTCCAGGGTTAAGGAGAGTCTTTTCGAAGAATCCACTAGCTGAAGTAGGTAGGGGAACTCAGGTCCACCCGTGCCATTGGGTTCCAGCTCAGGACCCTTGTTTGGGGCAGCCAGAACCAGTCCTTCTCCATACCTTTGCTTTCCCTGATCTCTGTATTCTTCCCAGCCTCTCCTGTTTTTCTACCTTCGTTGAGGGGTTGCTTGGTTTGGCAGCTTTCCACCAGTCTGCTGGAGGGTTCCTCAACCTGCAGTCCCTTCGGTTACATCTACACTGCACAGTTATTTCGGGATAAGCTATTCTGGAATAGTTATTCCGAAATAGCTTATTTCAAAATAGAACATCTACTCTGCAGGGAAGCCTCAAAATTAGTCCGAGGCAGGTTTCCCTAATGTACATGTGCTACCCCATCTTAGTGCCCTAGGAGGAATAACTTAGAATGGCCCTGGTGAGGGGCTATTTTGAAGTAGCGTAAGTGAAGTGTCTACACACGCCTTATTTTGAAATAGCTATTTTGGAATAGGCATTATTCTTTGTAGAATCAGATTAACAGAAGTCGGAGTAAGCCGGAAGTCGGAGAATTGCTGAGTAGACGCTTACATAGTTATTTCTGAATAACTTTGTTGTGTAGACACACACTCAGTCTCTGTGACAGCTGCCCGACTTTCCTACCTTGCACCCCTTTTATCCTCATTGCTACTGTAGGGTTGCCAGTGAGCTCTGTTTGAGCATTCAGGCAGCTGCTTTGTTATTCCTTTGGCTGCTGAGCTAGCAACAGGAGTATAGACACCAGGATAGATCCCCTTGGGGCCTGGGCCATCTTTTGGTTCTGCGTTTGTTCCATTCCCAGCACAACGAGGCTTTGATTCAAGACCTGGAGCCCAAAGAGCTACCATGATACAAAATAAATAACGACAAAGAGATCCAAAATGTGGGGTATATTTTCTGGACTCGCTCACTGACATTTACTCATTACAGCAAGGAACATTTAGATTGGATATTAGGAAAATCTTTCTACTATCAGCCCTGGAACACGTTCACTAGGGAGCCTTCCAAATCCCCATACTTGGAAGTTTTTAGAAACAGGTAAAAAAACGTGTGTCGGGGATAGTCTAGGTATATGTGGTGCTGTCTCAGAATGGACTAAATGATCTGTTGGGGAGTCCCTTCCAGCTCCGCATTTCTGTGATGCCAGTTCTCACCCTTTCTCTCTCTGAGCCACCACTTCACTCCACCGAGGCTGCCGTTCCATATATTGCATCTGTTTAGCCTCCCTCCTATTGCTGGCAGTATACCCCAGCCTGGCCTTCTACCCACACCCCAAACCCACTGTCTGTACCAACCAGCACAGGAGATGAGCCACTCATCTGTGTGTTTCTTTCTGATGCCTTGGAGTAATCCAAAAAACATTAGGCGCTATATTTAACCCTCAACCTTAATAAAATATTCTGCACTGGACAGCCTGACCGGAGCTGGGGATTGTCACCTTTCACAACACCCTGTAATTGTTTACTTCATAGCTATAAATAAACATAGGAGCCTGCTTTTCTTATTTGCTGGTAGCTTTTTAAAGTCATTCCCCAAGATTCCACTCCTCAGCTGCCCTATGGATATAGAAAATGTTACATAATAACCCTCCAGACCTCCTTGTGAGAATAAGGCTATGGCACCTTGTGCTCTGATTCTGTCTAGCCAGCTAGCTGAATAAGTACATAGGTAAGAAAGCTGCAGCAAACCCTTCTGTGGAGCATAAAGCAACATTGGCAGGTCTATATGGGGGTAATCCAGGACCGTCCTTTGGATTTATGGAGCTCTATGGAGTATGGCATCCAGGGTGCATGATAATTTTTTAATTATTTAATTTTAATTTTTTAGAGATGTGATTTTATAATCTGCAGCAGTACACCAATGGATAAGAGCCTAAAATCCTGTCAACTAACACAGTAAATTCAGAAACTGCCACTCTTTGCCTGAGATTGGCAAATGCTTGTTAAATGACTTCATTACCACTTGAATGGATCTTTCACAGGTTTAATGTCTGATAATAGGTCTAGCTGAAACAACAGACAGAACTATGTAGCACTTTAAAGACTAACAAGATGGTTTATTAGGTGATGAGCTTTCGTGGGCCAGACCCACTTCCTCAGATCAAATAGTGGAAGAAAATTAGCGCAATCATATATACCAAAGTGATACAATCAAAAAAAATGAACACATATGAAACTGACAAATCAAATTTTAGAACAGAGTGGGAGTGAAGTGGGAAGGTTAGTGTTTGAGGAAGTGGGTCTATTCCACGAAAGCTCATCACCTAATAAACCATCTTGTTAGTCTTTAAGTGCTACATAGTTCTGTCTTTTGTTTCAGCTAGACCAGACTAACACGGCTGCATCTCTATCATGATAATAGGTCTGGCAGCCTTTTTTACTTTTAAGTTAACTAGATCTTCTCCAAAAGAAGCAGAGCCACAGACCACAGATAGGGCAAAGGCAGATCGGTGGATATTAAGACCAAGTGGGGCCCCAAATTTTCAGGTGGCCTACACAACTTCTGCATATGGGTAAGAACAGCTCTGGAGTGATCTATCCTTGCCAAAGACCTGAGACTCATACTGGCAAAAATACAAAGAACATTCATATGTGATGCAAGGAACTACTTACTCAGGGTTTCATACAGGGACAATGCATAATCAAGGACACTCTTACATGTTCTATGTGCTATACCGGCATCTTGATCATCCATGCTTTATTCTTGCACTTGTGCAAAATGGGGTCCTTTGGAAATCACAGTGAGTCTTATACAGGGAGAAATGATGGTAGTCTGTCAGGGAAACTGTAGCTAGGGAAAGGTCTGAGAAGAACTTTGACACCAGAACCCTTGGAAGATCAACTCAGAGGGCCAGCAATCCCTGGAGCCGGAGCCGGAGCTGGAGCCGGAGCCGAAGCCCGGCAGCATTCATCTTTCAGCAGCTGTAAGCCATTTATTAGTTGGATTTTAATGTTTCTGCAAAGGCCAAGTTGTTGGGGAAAAGACAAATGTGAAAAAAATTGTGTTAATTACCAGTCCATTTATATGATGGAAAGCTGACCCGGTCTGTCATCTCTTCCCTCTGAGTAGCTGTTTGTTGGGTCTCACATTTTCATAACAGGCTCCCCAGTGGGGCCTGTGTTTCTTTGGATTGCTATGGAGACAGCAGCTGCCACTGACTACTCCTGTTTGAAGGAACCGCCAGCACTTCAGAAACCATTTTGGAAGCATTTGTCTCAACCGCTTTTACTAATCTCTTTCATTTGTAATTATTTTATCACCCAAGCACTCGGACACCATAACAATTCCCTCTTGCCCCAGCCCTCTACCACGAGGGAGCCTCAGACGCCTCAGTGCTAACCTTGTAGAGATTAAAAGACTTGGGTGTGGGAGGGGAGGGGGTCAATCTTGTGAGGAACACAGTGGGCTTTAAACTGGCCTCAGTCTCCTCTAGGCTGTTCTGTGAGGGGCTGGGGCTATTGAAGTAGGCCGAGCTATGACGCGGAGAGCCTTTGAGGTAGGCCGCACCATCTAGGCCAAGAATAATTGAAACAAATAGTTTATCTGGATAACCAACAGCTGTAGAGAACAGGCGATTTCCAGAGGATTAGGGGAGAGCTGTGAAAGGGAACTCTCATGGGAGATTTAAAATCCTCATCTTGAATTCTACTAGCCAAGAACACATGTTGGAGCCTTTGACTTTCTTTTTAAGTAACTTTTTTCCTCTTCTTTTGAAATGATTTTATTAAACACCAATAAGAATTTTAACTAGTTCAAGAACAAGGCAGAAAAATGGGCTGCATTAAGGGATCTGAATCATTTAGAGATTTCTAAAAGGACTTTTCTTCTTGGAATAGATCAAATTCAAATAAGTTCATGAAGTATTATTGTGAAAATTGTTGGCAATTCCATTTCTTGGGCTTTGAATTTCTGGGAGGTGGCCTGGTTTAATAAGGCACTGGCCTATGAGTCCAGAGCCCTGGATTTTATTCGTGGATCAGCTGTGTCAACTTGGGGAATGATTTCCCTGTTTGTCAAGCAAGGATCTGGCACAGCATGCAGATGTGACACTTTTGACATTACAGCCACCAAAAACTCTTTCCTTGTTCGAAAAAGAGCATAAACAACCATCGCTAAGATATTTATGACCTTTGACAGTTTCCTTGCAGGTTTGCTGTGTGTCTGACTGGGCAATGAGACTCCAGAGATAGAATCAACTCGCCTAAATTCTGTTGTGTGTGAGTAGATTTAATGCTAATCAGGGCCGGCCCGAGCCATTTGTGCACTCTGGGCTCCGGGAGTGCGGCACTGCCCCCGGGAGTGCGATGCATGCGCGTCCCCGCCCCTTGGCGCCCAGCGCATGCGCAGCCCCACCACGGGCACCCGGCACATGCATGGCACCGCCCCGGGCGCACGGAGCATGTGCGGTGCCGCTGTGCCCGGCCCAGCAGCCCCGCACGGTGCCCCCTACAATGGGGCACCCCTGGCCCGTACCGTGGGCTGGCTCTGATGATGATTAAAGATTGCTGTTATCAATCCCCTAACATAATCCAGTGTCTCTGAAGAACCACCTAATTTTATCTGCTTGTGATTTGCTATGAAGCTTTACTTAGTCTGAACCCGTGCATCTCTAGACTTGGCATGCCAGAGCAGACAGGGAACCAAAAGCAGCAGGAGAACCACTGTGGTAAAAATCAACAAGAATTGATGGTCACGGAAAGAGCAAGTGTTACGGTGTATTATGCTGCAATGAAAGAGTCACCATAAGAGGGCATTTTAATGACCACTGAGGGAAGCTGCATGATTAAGGAGTCCACCCTTTGGGTGAATCTACCAGCCAAAATCACAATTTAAGAGAGACACAGGCAGGCCTTAGCCTCCACTACTGCCTGGAAACTGCTCTAGCAGCTAATCAGCTACTTTGCAGCTTGGATCTATGGTGGGGGACAAAGCCATCCCGATCCCTCCAGCTCCCACTTAGCTCTTGCTCCCAAAGTCCATTAAATCTGACTTTGGGCAGGGGAGAAGATTTTTCTAACATAATTTTTCACCAAATTTGCAGCTGTGAGCAGTGGGAAGTGGTTCAGAAATGCCAACTTAAACTTCATTTATAACTACACTTCATAACAAGGAGTTCAAGACAAGGAGTCATAAATTCTCCAGCAACTTACAGTAACTTCTGCCTGCTGGAACTCACATGAAAAACCTTTCAGCCCATCTTTCAAGGTTAAAACATGCAGGCTGTGTCTACATTGGCACCCCTTTCCAGAAAAGTAGGAATAAGGGATCTTCCGGAAAAGGGCTTATTTTCCGCAAGATCCCGTCTAGACTGGCGCTTTTCTCCAGCAAAACCCCGAGCCGGAAAAAAGCAGCAGCCATGTTCATGCAAATGCCGCGGGGGTATTTGCAATTCTGACTGGTCTCATTAGCATCCCTTAACCTCCATCTGGCTTAAACTGTATCTCCTTGATTCTTGAACAATTGGAATACAAGCATGTATCCGTTTTAAAGAAAACATTCTCTGTATTTTAAGATTTGCAGAAAAGTTCAGGTCTTCTCCTCCCACTCTTATTTCAGCCAAATGGGATTGCCCAGTTCTAGCTAGTATGCTTCTGGTCTTTAGAAACCATTTCTGATTTCTGTCAGTTAGCTAAGAAACTAATGGGCTATGTCAACACTACACGGTTTTTGTGCAAAAATGGCTGTCCACGCCTCAAGCGCATTTTTGCACAGTGCCAAATTTTGAAATAAACCACGATTCCGAAATGTCCCTTAATCCTCGTGGAACGAAGTTTACAGAGACATCAGAACAGCGAATCCATTATATTTTGAAATAAATGACCTGTTCAAAAACATGGGATAGCTATTTTGGGATACCAGAAGTATTCTGAAATACTGCTGCAGTATAAACAAACCGTTAGGGTATTATTGGCTATTATATCTGAAGACTCGTGACGATTGGTGGAGGTGCCGTATGACTGGAAAAAGTCAAATGTAGTGCCCATCTTTAAAAAAGGGAAGAAGGACAATCCAGGGAACTATAGACTGGTCAGCCTCACCTCAGTGCCTGGAAAAATCATGGAAGGGATCCTCAAGGAATCCATTCTGAAGCAATTTGGAAGAGGGGAAAGTGATCAGGAATATTCTACATGGATTCACCAGGGGCAAATTATGCCTGACCAACCTGATTGCCTTCTATGCAAAGGTAAATGGATCTGTAGATATGGGGAAAGCAGTGGATGTGATATACCTCGACTTCAGCAAGGCTTTTGATAAGGTCTGCAGTATTCTTGCCAGCAAGTTAAGGAAGTATAGATTGGAGAAATGGACGATAAGATGGATAGAAAGCTGGCTAGATTGTCTGGTTCAACTGGTAGTGATCAATGGCTCGATGTCTGGCTGGCAGTCGATATCAGGCAGAGTGCCCCAAGGGCCAGTAATGAGGCTGGCTTTGTTCAACATTTTTATTAACGACCTGGATGAGGGGATGGATTGCACCCTCAGCAAGTTTGCAGATGACATTAAACTGATGGGAGAGGTAGATATGCTGGATGATAGGGATAGGCTCCAGAGTTACCTAGACAAATTGGAGGTTTGGGCCAAAAGAAATCTGATGAGGTTCAACAAGGACAAGTGCAGAATCTGGCACTTGGGACGGAAGAATCCCAAGCATTGCTAAAGGCTGGGGACTGACTGGCTAAGCAGCAGTTCAGCAGAAAAGGACCTGGGGATAACAGTGGATAAGAAGCTGGATGTGAGTCAACAGTGTGCCCTTATAGCCAAGAAGGCTAATGGGATAGTCCCCTTTATTTGGCTCTGGTGAGGCCACATCTGGAGTATTGCATCCAGTTCTGGGCCCTGCACTACAAAAAGGATGTGGATGCATTGGAAAGGGTCCAGAAGAGGGTAACCAAAATTATTAGGAGGCTGGAGCACATGACCTATGAGGAGAGGCTGAGGGAGTTGGGTTTATTTAGTATACAGAAGAGAAGAGTGAGGGGGGATTTGATAGCAGCCTTCAACTTCCTGAAGGGGGGGTTCCAAAGAGGATGAAGAAAGGTTGTTCTCAGTAGTGACGGATGGCAGAACGAGGAACAATGGTCTCAAGTTACAGTGGTGGAGGTCTAAATTGGA